CTCAATTCAGCAAATTCGCTACACTTTGTTTCGCTTAGATTTTATTTGAAAGCATCAAAACTCTCTTCAGAAAGTTTGTCTGCTTACGGCCGCTGACAGAGGAGGCGTTTTTATGGGGAAAACGCCTCGGGTATACGCCGTGCACCTATCTGTGGGCAGAGTTCGCACTCGCATTTGAAGTCTTCTGTTTTCCTGAAGAAGGTGTTAGTATCCTGATTGAGTTGTATTGTGCTGTTATATGGCACTCTTGTTTCACTTTCCCATGAACTGCTCTACACTTTGTTCTCCTCGGGATTTCAGGAATGTTTCATCATCGAAGACAGACCATGTTTTTGCACTACACTGTAACAAAGTTTTTGGCTATTGTCTATTGTACTCTTGATCTATGCCGCGGAGCAAAAGCGCCGTCCGGATAGCGTCGATTAAGGATAATAAGCTGATGGGTGAGACTTATAGTGCTCTGCATGCTTTAATGCTCCCATGGAGCTCATGTCTGTGTGACTCTCCGACAGCGTGCAGAGCTCCTGGAGAACATTAGAGGCTGAAAGTGCACTCCCGGACACTGCACTTTTCAAGCCGTCTTGCAGCCCGTTTGTGGATACGACCCCCTCCCTTTTCGGTCGGCTGAATACGACCCCCTCGTTGTTCTTTGCGCAACGCAGGGTTGACCCTGCTTGGCCATCTGCTCTTGAAGCCCAACAATGGCTTCTTGTTGGGACATCATCCGTAATATTCACCAGGTCGCGGCCGATGTTGTGCTGCACTTGGACTTTCATATGATTAGGAAAAAACCAGAAAAAGTTGTCTCTTAGTTGGGAATGTCGGGGGGAAGTACGGGACGTGCCAACCACTTTTCGAAGAATATGAGGAGGTCAAATTTTTTCGTGGTGAGGATCGCTTTTGCTTATCCGTCATTCTTATCTTGCTCACTCGACTCCAGCAACGCTAGAAACATTCGAGTAATATTGCTTTCGTAGAGACTGAACTACTAAGAAACAATTTCAATTTCGTATTCCGGACTTGTGGGGTTTAAAAAAGGACCTCCCATGGAAAAACTGCTTCCTTTGCATATGAATTCATTTTGAAATTACACATTACTCAATGGTTGAACTAAAATTAAGAAACAAGTGAACATTGAAGAGTAGGAATCATAATGATGAGGGAAACAAAAAGTTTCCAAACTTTTGACGCGCCATTACTTGAAAAAAAAAATCTTATTTCTCAAATATGATTATAGATTTTTGGAAATTTTCGTATTTCTGGACTAGATTTTGTATTTGATATTTAAATTTGAGATAGTTTCGTTAGGTTTCGCCCGCACGAGATCAAAAATAATATGTTTCCAAAACTTTTGACGGCTACTGTATTTCTCCTTGTTTCACCCTTGTCCCATGTTTGTTGTGATGCAGTGGCCAGGTGCCGCTGATTCACCACTCACACTGGTCGGATCAAATCCTTAGTTGTGCGTCGTTCGGGACCAACACTTTCCTTCCATCCCTCCGGGATCGATGAATCGGTACTGAAATTGTTAAGGAGGGTTAACACTGACTTGTACATCGGCTCGTCCCGTAAGTTATTGAACGGGTCAAATTTCTTTCATAATCTCTACGATTCTGAGGTGAAGTCAAAACGCTGGGCGCATCTCAAAAAGGGATTGAGCAATGCAGAATGCTTTATTTTCCGTCCCTTCATCTCCTTTTATTACTGCTTCCTCAATTACCTGTCATGTGTTCTTGGCGAACTGTGTCGGTAATAAATTGACCCATAAATAAACAACTTCATTCTAATTTATGTCTTAGGGTACCTTTCATGTTTTGGTTCCAAAACGTTAACAAAATATTAGGTCGGTCCATAAGTCTTGCAACAAACTGGCCGAATTTTGAATTTAATATTTTCATTATCTTTTTGTTCCATTCATCCAGCATGTTACCCTCCATCAATATCTACAACCTATTGCCAACGCACTAGTAACCAGGGTCAACCCTACGTTGTTACGAGTAACAACGGGGGGGGTCGTACTCAGTTGAGCTTGGGGGAGGGGGGTCGTACCCTCTCGGTGGCCGACAGTGGGATTCTTGGTAATATCGGATAATAGCCAGCACGTTACGTTTTCGTAAGATGACTGATACTAGAGCATCTATAAACCACGATTCCCTCTAAATGAGCTTTCAAATGAATCAGCGAATTAGAAGGGCGCCCGAGGCGTGGCGCGCACCAAGGCAAGGGATGTAGTGCAAGCGCATGCTCGGAGCTTTCTAGCACATCCTTAATTAAACATAAAATTGGTCTTCCAAGAAGTTACGGGCAGTGAAACCTAAGAAAACTCGCGTTTTCGAGAAAATGGCTTGAAGAATACCCCTCAAAATAAAAAGTAACAACGGGCTAATTTTTGAACTGCTGATCTTTCAGGAAACGCTTGGGTGCTCGTTAGAAAGCTTGAAACCTGTGGTTTATTATACCGTGTTCAGCTTCCCAAATGAATGACTTTGAAGGAAGTTATGATCGTTTGAAGGTCAAAAAGTCGCGGTTCCAAAAAAATAGTAACGCAAACCCCCAAAAAAGTAACAACGGGACTAATTTTTGAACTACTGATCTTTCAGGAACGCTTGGGTGCTCGTTAGAAAGCTTGAATCCTGTAGTTTATTATACGTGTTCAGCTTCCCAAATGAATGACTTTGAAGGAAGTTATGATCGTTTGAAGGTCAAAAAGTCGCCTTTGCACAGAAAAAAGTAACAACGTACTAAATTTTTACTAAATTAACTTTCGAAGAATTTTTACCCATGGTTGGAGAGAGAATAATTTGAATTTTCCAAATCAAATCACTTCGGCGCAGAAGCTCGAATATGAAGGAAGTTATAGCCTTAGAAAGAGGGGTGTAAAAATTGTGTTGCAATTGAAGAACGTGAAGGATTTCAGTATTTCAATTGGAGCGATAATTTTTTCTGACTTCTCATAAGTTTTTATCAGGTAATATTGTCAATATTCCGGTCACTGGTTCAGTTTATTTCATCTCCTAGTTTGGTAACCCTTTGGAGTACACGGATATCTTTGAATGCATCTCATTTTTTCGTGTTTGGAAGCAGCGATGAATATCTGTCGTGGATTTTGCTAAAGTTTCATCTTTAATGACTTACGTAGAAATAAATATTGATGGTAAACACTGTCTCTACACAAGTGTTACATACAAAGGGGGGGTCGTATCAAACCACCCCTGAAGGGGGGGGGGTCGTAAAAAATTTCCGAAGAGTAACAACGATAGGGTTGACCCTGGTAAAGCAACTGGTTTCCGATGCCTCCCTTGTAGGACTCTACTGAATTCTGATCGAAGAAAGATCAGATGTCGATTTTGACATCATCATAGTTAGGATGAGCTTTCTTCTCTAGGAGATGGTTTGGAGAGGGGAGCAGAAGGGCATTATTTGCCTCGAGGTCAGGGCTATAACGTGAATACGGAAGAACTCTCCGTCCCAGAGTCTCGAAATTTTCCTGAATTTTCTTAGCAAGAGGTTTTTCAACGGTGTCATACAAAAGCAAACTTTGCCTTGTTTTTCTTTCGTATTAAAAGCGTTGCATTCGAGCTGTGGATAGTTGACTTTCGCGTTGACTGCGACATCTACACGTAGGGGTTTCCAGAGCTTAACTCCTCCCGTGTTCACCAAAAATCCGAGAAGGCCCTACTTGGACGAGGTTGAACTTCAGCAGTAAGAACTCCCGAAGCGTTTGAGCTGGACTACCGCCGCTTGTTCATTTTTTTAATAAACTGTACACACTCCTCATCTTCGGCAAATGTGATGGATGGTCAATCGTAGAATCCATTGGATTAGGTCGACTCTGAACATAACGACGTCATATCGTGTTTGGAGCTGAATCGGGGTCAAGGCATGTGGGATTCGAAACTTTGTATTTTCGGATCTTTACAAGTCTTTGGAGATGTCGCAGTGCTGTCCCTTGTCGCATCAGAACTGCTCTGGCAAATGATCGATAGTCTATCCGGATCCCTTTTCAACAGCGTCAGGTGGAGCATCGTGAATGCCAGTTACGGGGTGGTTGGAGTGTGGGTTATTTCAAATGAAAAATTCAACGCTGAGCAGATGTGTTATAGCAACCGGTTGCCACGCGTTGATTTGAAAGAGCAGCCCCGCCCAATCTCCTGCTTATCCTTGAGTGCTGGCATGACTTGGCGGAACCATGGCAAGCCAGTACTCGCCAGAAATTAAAGGAAACACAAAGAGCTTTTCGGGGAAATCGCGGTGTTGGAATATTCATAACAAGTAGCAGACAACATGCTGGACGGGTTGGCGTTGGAATCGGCAAAGCGGTTTGATGCGACGTAACAAGTAGTTCAGATTCTGAACGTTCGTCCCACAAGTCCCTGGCCATTAACGTACATTTTCTTGCAAGCCTTGAGGGACCAACCTAAAAAATAATAACCCCCCATTTAAACAGGTTGTTGGGCCAAAACTGTATTACAAAATGCGCCAACCCTGCCCCATTTCGACATTTGTCGAAGAGAATTATGGCGTATTTTTCATTTTCTTTTCTATTTGCGATTTTTTTTTTCTATTGCTGTTGAGCCGATGTGTGAAATGTTTACACTCCGTTTATTTACTACAAACAATCCCTGGTACTTTTTAAGCTTGGTACTTTACTAAAAGGTACCCACAAAATCTCGTTCGCAAGTCCCCTGATCCATGTTGCATACGAACGTTCGCCTATAGCTGGTTCCCCGCGTAATCCACCAAGCATTATTCATACGGTTTGATGTTTGTGTTCGTTTAGACAAGAGTCGCCTTGACCCGCGAGAAATTGATGAAAGACCCCCACGTTTTGAGCGGAAAAGTCGCCCCGAATTAGGTTGGCCGCGCTACATAGCAATTCGGCTCGTGGGATAACACTGAAAACATTCAAAGTCGTCGATCCCAAGAATGCGATTTCGATCGCCGTCGCCCCACCCCCGTTTCGATGCTGATCCTCTCAGAATTAGCCGCTGTTGTGAAAGGAACACTTGATCTCATTTCAGGTTCAAAAACAGTTCGACGAAGACAAGTTGAAGGAGGCACTCCTCCAAAAGCAAAGGTACCACCGCGTTGTTTCGTTGTGACTCGACCCCAAGACTCCTTTTAGATGGGAAAAATGGCAAATGGAGTTCGTCGAATCGCAACAAAGAGCTCGCGAGTTCAAGGCCTATTGGGAGCGACGTCGCCAAGACGATACGGACCTTTGGAGAGACAAAGTGAGTGAAGGTCCCTGCATTGTCGCTCGACGACTCGTACGGTGCTTGACCTCCTTGTAAGGTCAAACTCAATTGCTTGCTCAACAAACAGAGCCATTTAACTGTGCCTACTTAGAGAGAAAGAGCAATTACTCCGATTACATCGATGATGCTACTTATGTCAGGTCACTGGCTGGTAAAAGTTAAATCTGAGCAAAGCTACCCAATAGAATACTTTCTTTGGAAGGTTCCCTTGACAGCAGTTGCCTTTTAGGATTTTGCTGACGCGGTGTACAAGATGAGTCGCGCCGGTTATAAGGGAGAGTACGGACATCACGAAGTTCCGGAAGAAGATAAGACTTATCTGGAAGCTCTTCACAAACAAGTCACTGTCGGGGACTACGGTACGTGACCTCATCATCACAACATATTCTGTCGGTCATTTCAAAACGTTGCTTCCAAAATAAGTTAAAAATTTGTATAAAAACCCGGTGTGGACGAAAGGTGACAATGATACAATGGCAAAAGACGCTGCTCAGCACGAGAGTGGTCTGGGGATTAAATCCAGGTTTGTACGTCGCCCAAGCCAACCAAAGTCTCCATCCTTATGTTGTTGGCTGATATCAGAGTCGTCTGAGTGGATAAAGAAATAACTTGCACGTCGGCTGCCTTCCCCACCCCTCTCCTCCCTTCCAGAGTCATTGTTTGGGAGTTATCTCATTCAAAATGGCACTATGATTTGAAGTGGAGGTAGAATGCTTGGCGCATCTCGAGTGCCTTATACTTTTTATCCTTCTACCCTGTTTGTATAACCAGTGATCGGTTTGCTGATCAGTACTGCGATGATCCCATGCTTGCTCGAGCTGTTTGTGGTTCCTTCTGTGATAGGACTTGGTGGTCATTAGGACTAGGACTGATCTTTACTACATAACCAGGGAAGACCCTCCTGCTGAGCGCTTTTTCCCATGGGAACATCATAAGAAATTGTTCCAAAATCTAAGGGTTCCACGAAAAAATTCGATTCGTAGCCTCCTAAGTAATCTTATTCATAAAGCAATAGCAATCATCAAAACTACATTTTATCAGTGTACTTGTTTGTTTATTTATTTGCTGATTTTTGCGCCTTTGCCAAGAGCATTTTCAAGAATAAAAAGGAATTATTGCCAAATCTACTGAAACACCCTTTTCTTGCTGTCGGCTGCTGTTCATACCCCAGTTCGTCGAGCGAAATTTATTGCAAGGAAGTCGGACTGTGAGCAGAAACTCCTTCCGTCCAAAGCTGGAATCAAAGCCGTCACGCACCACTTGGGAGAATGGTATAATCGGTAACAAAGCTGCCTGGAACCGGCTAATCCGATTATACCACTCTCCGGTAGTGTAATCGGTAATAAAGCTGCTTGTTACCGATTACACTACCGGAGAGTGCTTTCCTGAAGCTCAACCCTCAAAACTCATCATAGCTTATCAGCGTTTGCCTACAGCCCAGCTTCCTTGTAATAACTGGAATCTCACAAAGCTTCTGAGGTTGTTCACAAGACTTTGAAAGCTTAGCCAGTAATCTTTTCCTGGGTTCCCCCGTAGCCCAAAAAATATCCCTACAGCTCAATAGTGCAAACTTTTGATATGGTTCTTAAATTTCTTTGAGCGAACAAAGTACCTTCTCAAATATTTCGAGAAAAATTGGAAAATTTTAGCGTTAGTGAAGGCACGCCACACGATCAAGTTGATGTGGATGTGGTGAGCGGTTGTGCCGGTGAATTTCGGTGAACATGGTGTAGGTATATTGCTTCCTTGTTATCTTATCCATGACATTAGAAAGCACTGCCATGGGGTTTCTAAACATCGATAAAGGATACCTGGTTTTAGACCGTTTCTTTGTACCACGCAGGCCGAGCTGTGGAGTACCCGTCAAAAATACGTTTCAACACACCATTCATATTATGCAGATTATATTAAGGGGCGGAAGTGGTGTAGTGGCAAGTGGCACGCTTACCACGCGAGCGGTCCGGGGATCAAATCCTGGGTCGTGAGTCGCCCGGGCCAACCAAGCCTTCCATCCCTCCGGGGTCGTTAATTGGTACCAGACTTGTCTGGGAGGATAAAAACACTGACTTGTACATCGGCTGGCCCCCGCAAGTCATTGTATAGGCCACATCGCATTCAAACGCCACTGCGAATGTACAAATGGAAGTAGAATGCGTGCCGCATCCCAAAAAGGGATTGATCAACGGCAAATGCTTTATCCTTTATCCTTTTTATTATATAATTCAAATAAAGTCGAGAACGTGCCATGAGCGCTCTCCTCTTTAGCTTTAAAAACGGAGAGTACCACGAAATTTCTCCACTCGAACCACAAGATCACGGATCTCGGTAGATTTCTTCATCATGTTCTAGGGCAACCCGTTTAGTCTAACCATAAGCTTCGCTCGATTTTTGCCTGAAAATGGTAAACCATCTCGGAAATGTTCTGATAATTGATAATAGCAGTGCTTCCAATTCTTTTTAAAGGACGAATTCACGATGAAAAAGCAACCCATTTCAAATTAACCTAGGGATGGTGAGTGGTACACGAAAGAAGGAAGAACCATGAGAAACGGCCCAGAACCCGAGAAATGGTACCCCTTCCTTGCCCGTTGATTTGAGCATTGATGCGACTCTCATCGCTGTGCCCTCTTCAACACTACGCTCTCTCAGCTATCTAATCACTCGCCACGTATTGAACTACGGCGAGTGATCAGATGATCGGTGGGCGGAGATCGCCGGACCCGCCAGCTTTGAGGCATGATAGGTCGCCGAGGTCAAATTTTTCCATGCGAATTGCGCGTCAGTTCGCACCCTCAGGAGGTCCGTGGGTCCCTCAACTAGGTCAGTTTCCCTTTCTTCGACCTTCATTCTAATCGTGAATTCCTCCTTTAAATCCACTTGCTTGTTATCCTTCATTAATTCTTATACGTAATCCGTTGATCCCTGAACATTCCACCGAGTGGTTGATTCAAATAAGTAATAAACCAAACAAGTAAATAAATAGGATCAGAAAATTCTTTGAGTGGCCAAAGAAATCTTGTACAGTTTAGTAGCGGCGTCTCTTTTCCAAATCAAATAGATTATCATGATGAAGGCTCCAAAAGTCATTCCTAAGCTCATTTCTACTTATAGGAATTTATCCTCTGATTTTGGACCTTACGACGTTAAAACTTTGACAACTAATCTCAGCTTAGGGGATCAGCGAATTAAGGCAAATGAAGGGAGCTTCCAAAGAATTAAGGCAATGAACGGAGCTTAACTGTTCATCGTTCGCAGTTAATCTGCACTCCGCAATATCCTCAAAATAAAGCTACTATAATCTGAAGCTGATAGCTGGAGATTTTGATTAACACGTTGACGATAGTGATGATTTCGGCTTCTCTGGCCAGGCGCGATGCGCGATTTTGCTAGCGCGGCCGCCTCACCTCATTTCCGTAAATTTTGAGTAACAAATATGCCAAACATGAATGGCACAAGACCATTTCAGTAATATTCAATGCGTAGAAGTTAGTCGGGGAAATCGAGAAATATTATAGTGGTGGAATTCTTATCAAAGGAAAGTGTTATGGTATAGAAAGGAAATCCTACTCATTTCTCTATAATGAAGGACAAAAGCATTTTGACGTGATTGTGTCCAGAAAAACATGTTTTCTGTCCGTATGGTTTTATACTTTCTTCTACTATTTTTTTTTACTCATTGTCATGAAAATAAAGAAAAGAAGGAATCAGGCGGGTTGCCAGTTTCGTACCCCTAGGGCCGTATGCTATCCTCCCGAAAGGGTTGGGGGACGAAAAGTCCTTTAAATTTTCTCTGTCTTCCCATCTGGGATTGCCCTGATAAAGGACCTACATTTAATGTATGTAGGTAAAAGTAAACATGCACTGAAAATGAAGAAACTATATCGTTCAAAACAAATAAATTTAAAGGAAACTTTGGATCACTTAGCTTCGGGGAAGCATAGCATACGGCCCCTGGAAGCGTCTTTATCGAAAGCCCAATTTGACTAAACGTGAAACTATATCGTACGTGCGCTCCCAACGATACGGGGGCGTTTGCTGCGCAGCGGCGCATTTCATTCGTTGTTTCGATCTTTTGTATAAAAATTTTTATAATTCATGGTATAAATCTTTTTGTATAAAAATTTATACTTATAGTTTTTTTTTATTTCATTGACAAATGGGACTAAGCCTTAGGTGGGCAAGAAGAGGCTCCAAATTGAATGTTCAGGTTTTTCTTATGCCCCGTTCTTCCCCACTCCTGGACTTAGCCCTAGAGGATGCCCCCGCTTTCTGCGATAGCGTCCAAAAGGATTAGATGTTAAAAGTCAAAAGAAACCAGCGAAATGCGTAGGAATGAAATAGCCGGCATTGGGAGAATATACACGTATAACGCGTTCAGCTTTAACCAGGTCTTGACAAATGTGTGACCCCTTGACTTCACCAGAATGCTTATGTTTAGACGAAATACCCCCGTATCTTGCGATAGCCCCCACCTTACGCTATTGAGTGGTCCATAGAATGAGTACAAGCAATTTGAGAAGAAGTAGCGTCAGCAAAACGGATGACTTGGGTGGGGCGCGTAATCGCGCCGCAGTGTCGTCAATGTGTTAACGTCTTCAGGAGCTCTCTGCAAAGGGTTAGGAAGGTCTGGAATTGAGGTTTGAAGAAAGGAGTATTCCTTCAAAAGCGCTTCGCGAGGGCTGTCTCAGAGTGATTGCCATTATTAGAACATGGGTTTTGGCGAGAAAGTTCTCGGTCCCTCGAAAGCGATCCAGCTCAAAGATAGAAAAGCCTGAACAGAACCACCAAAGGACGAAGATCGGCGAGATGCGTCACGGTTATGGCTTTGACTAAGAGTTCATCCCCTGTGCCTTGTTGCTCTTCGCTATTTGCGTCTAATCCAATGCTGAAATGAAAACCAACCCCACCGCATTCTTTTTGAGTTTTCGCGAGTAAGGCTAAATTCTGATCCATGCGAAGCTCCCGGCTAGAAAGGCTTCATCTGCTTGAGAGATTAAATGTTCAGGCAATTCTTGGAAGTGACGTAGCAATGCGACGTAAGCGGATTTGAGCGCTGCTAAATATCAAAGTTTAGATGGCAACGAATCTCTCAAATGTGCTGGTGAATGGAAGAAACTGGCCGGAAAAAGCAAAATCGACGCTCAACGAGAATATATCCACCATACCAACAAGATGCTCACTCGTTATGGATGGAATCCGCCAGACCATCGATTTTGACCAAAAAATTCTAAGTGTATTTGATTGTAGCACCATACGTCTGCAAAGTATATAATCGCTTGCTCATGCGTATCGTGCACGGAAAGGGCACAACCCACCTCCACCGAAAATTGGCATTTTAGGTCCCATGCTTCATTATAAAAAGAAAAAAAGCGAAACATTAGCATGATTTTCGGTTGAACGAGTTGCGTCTGCAATGCAGACTCCACAACACAAGTGACGACGACCCCACAAAACGTAATTGTTTTTGACCAAAATTATTATTTATTTATTTATTTGATGCACGCATAGGTGCGCTTTAACCATATTAATACTGCATGTGCAAATGAAGTTTGATCGACCTTGACGTTAGGAAAGGAAACTACTACGCAACAAGAGAAAAGTGTTTAATTTCGCAGCAGTCAGAGAAATTGTTGTAGCAGGACCCCCACTCGCTGCGTAGATAGAGCGGATGCGGTAAGAGTATTTGCTGGATTCTGAGAAATGTGTATGGCTCCCAGACAATACCTAACCATTTGGGCGCGGCCGCGGCGAACGCGGCCGAGTTGATAGGTGCCCGCGAACTCAGCACAGCACAGTTCGCGGGCACCTCGAGTGCGTTTCAACGTTTCGTTGGACCGATGTTGACCGCTCTCCGCGCCGGCATTCACTCTCGCCACCCGCGAGCCGTCTGTGTCTCCGTGCGTACGTTCACTCTCGGCATTACTCTCGTCGTCGCGTTGGACTTTGTCCAACGGACGGTTGACCCTGCCTGGAATTGCGCTTTTTTCAAATCGTTCGCCGGGGCACAATATCGACTCGGCGCGTTTCGCCGCGAGCGCGGCGCCATTTAGCTATGTTGATAACTTTGAAATGTCGTTTTTTGATCAAAGATTATCTTAAGTATAAAAGCTATACCAAAGCTTATCAACCTAATTTATTTCGTTTATGTGTATCATCCACTCTCCACCTTTTCCTATGCAAGGCAAGGAGGTCTACCTCGTAGAACTCTTCCAGGTACGACTCGAAGAAGTTAGGTACTCAAATTATGAGGTCGTCGCGGTTATCAAATTGGTTTGCTGCTAAGGAGTATTGCGCTGACCTGAGTCAGTGATAGTTGGAGGGTGCCAGGTCTGAGCTATATGGCGCGAGAGGGAGAGCGTCCCAGCCCAACTCCTCGATTTCTTGTTGCAAAATTTTCGCGACATGTGATCTTGCATTATCGTGCCAAAATGTTTCAATGACCGAATTTGCCCTTTGACTACGTAGAGCCCGACCCTCGCCTGCGGGATGTTGTGCGCAGAGTTTAGCTGTAACTATATGACGCACAATCAGCTCTCCATAGTAAGCCATTCTTATACTGCTTCACCATACTGCAGCAAGACTTTTTCTCTGTGGCTGTCCGGTTTCGGAGAGGCCCTCAGCTGCCCATCTGTTGCCAACCACGGCCATCTTCTCACTTTGTTATCGGGGAACATCCTTCTGTAAAACACGCCTTCAACGAAGTCAGGAACCTTCTTCTTCTTGGAGTTATGCAGCAGAGTTCAAGTATTGGCAACCAATACTGCTTGCTCGTGTCGCTCAAATAGGCCGAACCCATTTTCTATCCTGGAAGGCCCTAACAGTCGCACGTAGGAACTTTTAAATTTTTCTGTTGACACAACTGAATCTCCATGCAAGTTTTGTGCGGTTGTCGAGGACTCAATTCGTTGGCTTTCTTTATTTCTCCTTCATCTGGAGCTAGAGGTCAAAATCCACGACCTTCGTCATCAGCTCCTTTACCTCAGTCTTGGAAGAGCTGAAACCATAGCTGAAAGTGCACCAGAGACTGAGTGTTGCTGCTCAATGTTTTGCACGTAATGAGTGGGATTCGTTGGCTGTTTTTCTTTGCTTGAATATACACGCTCAGGCGATGTTTTCTGATCAATCATCTTCGAGCAAAAGTTTTGGCTCAAAGAACATCCGCTCGCTGACGGCTAAGGTTTCGCAATATGCGCACTGAATTGCTCTCTCGAATGGATGCTCTCCCATATTACGAGGTTGAGTTTCAGCTGAGAAACAAAGCCACTAAAGGAAGCGACATTTCAAAGTTACCAACCTAATATATAGACTAAAAGCAGTTTAAATTTCCACTGTACAACTGTAGGTGATAGAGATTCAACATGTGTAAACGTGTTGAACACGTGAACCTGTACGAGTTTCACGCTACATCTTCGAAAAAAACCGGGGAACGGTCAACAGAATCGTCCGGTCGTCGCGCCGCCGCATGCGGGCACTTCCACGGCGTCGCGGGGCAATTTTCGAAGAGAACGGGTTTTTAAATTCGACGATTGGAGCACTTGATCGAACTTCAATTTCAAAGGTCGGGACTCTTGGCTTCCCTTTAATATTCAAATTCTATTGACGAAATCCAAATGACGCTCACAGAAACTCGTCCACTGCAGTTGCGACGTCGCGGCCGCGATCTGTAGCGCGGCGATCCGGACGATTCTGTTGACACACTCCCAAAAAAATCTTGCACATGACTGCTCTCAACTTAGTTGCGAGTATATTTTCAACTCCGCCCCTTCTACCAGCGGCCTTCCAGAAGATGAGCTTTTCCGGAACCACTTTCTCTCAGAAATCTGATTTTTTTGGTCTGAACTCCCAAATTTAGTCTTCTAAAACCACACAAAACAGAATTATCCCGGGAAAGTTGAAGCAGATTTTCCGTGCACGGTGCCTTTAGCCCCACTACACCTCATTTCAACTATACCTCGCTACTGCTGTGTTTTTTCTTTGGTAACAACTTGACTGCATAAAACTTTTTTCTTCGCTCGGTCAAACAGTTACAATCGGCTAAAGTAGAACATAACAAAACAATAAACAGTAGAATTAAGGTGTGCCTAATTCGTCATACATTAAAATACACATTCACACATCGCAGTCAGAGCGATTGCACATTGAACACTATGATTGCACATCGAACAACCTGTAGAGGAGGGAAAACGTATATGTTGCACACAAGGGCGATAGATAGATAGACTAATAGGAACTAACTGGGATCAAGAGCTAACCAGTCTAACCAATGATAATGAACTTGAAACAATGGGGCTATCGATTGGTCCCCGGATAGAGACGGGAACCGAACGGACCAACAGTACGGGGGAACTGACCAACAGCCCTAACGACCATACGAAACAACGAATTAAATACAGGAAAGGAATGAATCGGTGCGTAATATGAGAGGAATGGACGCGAATCAAACACAAAAAAGAAACCGTGGGGCGGATTGCTGCCTCGTTGGACTATGGAAGGACCACTGGGCGGGCGGCAACGCACAGAGGAAACCCGGGGAAGTACCCGATTATGGATATGGAAATCGTCGTCGAGTTGTTACTATTGTAATTGTAAATACTCGGGAAGGAATTTGTTGAAGAAATTGTCATCGAAATACGAAGGATCTGAAATGGATGAAATATAGGGTTGATTGTGAAGATTCAACCAAAGCGCTATCAAATAACCTAGGACGGAAGGTCGACCGTGTTCCAGTCGTCTCCAAGCTCCTCGCGCCATTCGCCGAACAGAAGCGGATGATACTGGGCCAAATTCGGAAACCTGTTTGAAAACTGGCATCAGATCGAGTCCAATGGGAGCTGTTATTGAAAAAAACTCACCTCTTTCATCACTCCATTGAATTCTTTCTCAAGCGAATCGCTAGATACATAGTCGGGGCTACCTCTGTACGCGTGCAAGCCCAACAAAAAATTACACAACACTTCACCTAAACGAGCATTTTCTCACAGAATCGAGAAACGAGCACTATCCAGCCTTTGCCGTAGTTTTCGTAAACTAGACCGGTTTTTTCTCGAAATTCGACCTTGAACGTAAATACCTCGCCTTCAAATGACCAGAAATTGTGCAATTGCAGAAATTGACGTGGCATTAACGTGGCATCGATTCAAGAACATCTTTGAGCACACGTGATGTCACCTTTTCATCGAGAATTTAGCCACGTGTGCCAATGCCACGTCAATTTCTGCAATTGCACAATTTCTGGTCATTTGAAGGCGAGGGTACTAACGAACCCTTTCAACGTGGCTTGACTCAGGAAACAGAATAACGCATCCGCTTAGCGCGTGAGTGCCAGAATCTGCTTATGGTTACAGTTAGGCGGGGATGTTTTTCGCACCTTCCTTTCCGAAAAGGCTGGCGTTTTGTTTGTTATTTAATCATGAAAATCTTCTTCTCTCTTTCCAATAACAGGAATGCTTATCGAAAAATCATTCTTCATATTCGCCACATATGCTCTATCACTTCGAGAAAGGTTGAAAGGCGGCAGGGTCATTTCGCGATCTCAATGATCTTTTTGGCGATGGGAAAATCGGCAAAAGCGAAGTTGAAATATGGTACAAGAGGTTCAAAAACGCCATATTCACAAAACGAAGCTCTTACTTCAATCAGCCGTTGAAAAACTGGTCAAATAACAAAATTTACGACGAGCTGGATGACTTGGTGGCCAATGTTAGAGCGTGGATTGTCTCCAAGAATCGTGAATTCTCCACCCGTGGAATCGACCGACTGGTCAAGCAAATGGGAAGCATTCTTGAAGTATGGTGACTACGCTACGGGGTAATCATCTAAACATGGTTTGTAAAATATTTTTTTCCGTTTTCGCTGAATAAAATTTGTTGAAAAATCCGCAATAATTATGCATCAACCCCCCGTCATACCGGTGTTCTTCAGCCAGATACCTCCAGGAGCAAATTACAAACCAATGATCTTTGAAACAAATTTCGTGAGAAATCCTGCCCACTTTCCGAAATATAAAGCAGTGGAGGGTAAAATGTGAACAAAAATGATGCCAAGCATTGATGAATAGTTGGTGAGGACTTACTGTACGTTTTTGATTCCACTGCAGGAAAATGTAGAAATTTTTGTAGTTTTGCTTCTATCAGCCATTGAATATCGTTCGAAGCAAGACATCGTGGAATTCTAGTCTCTGAAAGTTCATACGTGACATCGGATACATGGAGGTTTTTTCGACTCAGGGCCTGACCAAAGACATTCTCAATAACAACACTTTAGGTACTTCTGCTGCAATGTAAAGAAGGTAGCCATTTTCTGAAGGTAGGCTATTTACCCATTCGCGACAATGGCAGCCACCGTTGGCTGACGCGAAGATGCTCACTTGGGACCATTTCATCCACCGGTTGCCCTCATGGAAAAAGTTTCAGCACCAATTGTTGATTTTTGCCACTTCACCTCACTTCAAGAAAGGGTCGCGAGGGACAATGATGGCCACCGGTAGCTGCCGCTTTGCGATCGTCTCAAACAAAGCTCGTCCGAACGGGCAGATTGAAAATCCTGCGCGGTCGCGAATGGGTTAATTTTGCAGGGCGAGTCTGGATTACGGGTAATGTCCGAGGCGATTGGTCGATAGGGATCGGGGCGTGGTCGACAGAACTTTGTTTAGGCTGTTTACTTGGAGGTAAGGTCATCATGGATGGGACCTGCAAGGTATTTCCCACACGCCACTACTATGACTGAGCCAAGACGCAAGGATTTTCGAAAAGATTCCTTCATAGGAAGTTTTGGACTTTTTTTGATTCAGCTATATACCTTCCCCCTCACGCCCCTAACCCACTCATTTACCCTGGATGAACATTTTATGGGACGAAGCCAGGAATACTCTCAGAGTTCGAGGTGGAATAAAAGTAGATGGGAGAAACAGAAGCCAGAAACCAGAAACGGTGAAGACTGACAGATAGTCAGACCGTTGCAACTCATAGCTAAGCAGAGCTTTTCAGTCGAAGAGTTGGGTATGTGCCATATTCCTTCGATTGATTCCAAAGGCCTAGCGGATAACAGAAAAAACAAAAAAAAAAAATACTACTTAGCGCACGAAGTTATACGAACGTGCAAATGGGATAACATACGACGAAACGCTAGTTAATCCGGGGCGATGCCACTCATCGCGGTGCGCGGGTCAAAGCCCGGCTTGCATCCCTCTAAGGCCAGATAAGACCTCCATCCCTTTACGCACTGCGAATTGGCACCACTGGGACCAAATTCTCCTGCCAGGATAAATGCGCTGAACTGCACATTGGCTGACCCCGCAAGTGGCTGATTAGGTCGAAACGCATTTTGACGCCACTAGGGTTTTGAAGACTGTAGAGTGTAAGGGCTGATTTCAAAACGGATGCGACACGCACTCCACACGGGAGAATCTGTAGGCGTCTTCGTGAAATAGGGCAATCCATCACAAAAAGGTTCTCATTCTTTCACAAATGAGACCCACCCGTCCCCCCGTCCCACCCCCACCCCCCCGCCCCAAGCGCCATGCACTCTGATAACATCGCGTATTAAAACAGGTCTATCCTAATGCGTGAAGGAAACACAATGGGGAGGCATCAGAGGATCGGCACACGATTTTCTGAGAGAGATTGGAAATTTTGAGAAAGATCTTTAAACAAAAACTTTAAACTTTCCCAACTGCAAAACGGACTTTTCTTCTTGAGGGGGGGGGGGCGAGTTCGAGGTAAGACGGCAAGAGCTTCCTGGAATCAGCGGCTCCTTGAGAGGTTATTTAGGATCAAATTTCGTGTCAATGAGGCGGAAGCACCGCTCTGCTGAGCATGTGATCAGAAGAAGTGATGGACGATGGAGCTCGAGGACTGCACGATGGTATCCGCGCGAGAAGAAGCGACCAGTTGGCCGCCCTCCTTTACGTTGGGCAGACTCTTTGGCATACAGAAACAACGTGTATGATCCTGTGTCCCTTAAGGTGGCCGTACACTGGACAACGAAAGCCAAGACCGCGAGCAATGGAAAAGAAGATGGGATCCGCGCAAGGCCAACCGTCGTGCTGCTGATCAAAGGCCGTCTTAGTACTAACGATATCAATTATGGCAGATCCTGCGGGAGAGGCCGTCTTTAGAAGAAATCTAATGAATCACGGCTTCTCTGAAATCCCGAAAACTCGTTTTCAATAAGAACTAAATTTAAGAAGTAGGGGACTCACGTTTTAAAATTCGCTTTGCAGCTTTAATTCGTTGCTTCGGGCTATTGTTCATATGATCTGAATAGGTATCGCTAAGTAAAAAGAATTGTGGTCAAGAAAGCAAAAGGCGTTTCCGCACATGAGAAACTCTAGAACCACAGCGAATCCTCACTTACTGCTGGACGCCATTTGATCGGAATTGTTGTGGATCGGCACGATCTCACTCATCAACCACACGAACAGGCAGAACTTCGATGTTCCCACTGCAACACAGTATTACAAATTGTTCTCAAACAGAATAGCCCATGTTAGCCTTCGGCATGATTAGTTCAGTAGGAATGATTCTTCAAGCCTTTCAAGATTGAACTTTTTATTAAGGCTTACGTTTCGGCTTCTTCGCCTTCGTCAGAGCCTGAAATGGTCAAAAGCATGTGTAACTTGCTCGCTCAAACGCCTCAACAAAAAACCCAAGACTATTTCACCAGACTACGAAACGTAACCCTTTTATAAAAAGTTCAATCTTGAAAGGCTTGAAGAATCAGTCCTACCGAGTTCTCAAACAATTTAAAAGGCCGTTATTCCTGGAGCCAATCATTCCTTGGTATTTCGTGACGAGGGGGATTGAATTTAGGATTTATCGATGGAGGGCAGCGGCGTATTCTTGGCTTTTGCTAACTTGGGGAGTGTTCTTGTTTATTGGCAACCCCTCCACGTTTATGTTAGACCATCTTATCGAGGCCATCCTAGTAGGAGAAGGGTCAAACTTCAAAAATTTTTGCAACATCACTGTTCTGTTCCTGAACGATGCAACAAAAAGGTGGCCGAAGAAAAGTCGGCTGAGGACAGCCCCATAGTAAGGGGTACGTACCCCTTACCACAAATGGTTCCTTCTGAAGGTGAAATATGATATAAGACAATGATCCAAATTGTGTTCTGATGGTAAGAAAACAGAGAAATATTCATACAAAGTAATGCGGGCACAGTCACCAACGCTATACTGCAATAATCTGGACACCTCTATTAGTAGGAAGAATTGACGTTAGCATTGTTAGGCCCTTCTTTGCCTGCCTGTTTGGAGATGCTTATATTTTTCCACGTAAACTGCAGATGGCATGATAAAAGAACCTCTCCCAAGGTTATTTGTCAAAAGCTTGAAACTGGTTTTACAATCTTTGGAAATCTCTTAGGAAAGTCGGCTCGGCATGGGTGAATCTATCGGGGAAAACTTGGTTTTCTACACGTAGCTTTGGAAGATGAAATGTCAAATAAACAAAAACACTTCAAGTGCGTTATATGACGGCATGTTAACGAAATGTTGGAAGAAAAACTCAAAATCAAAAGTGATTTTAGTCTTTGTTTTTTTTCGGAGGTGGTTACTCGAAATATTTTCTGACTTATTAAAGTTGTATTTCAGTTATTATATTCATTTTTTTGTATACACAGTACGTTTCATCGATAACTTCGTATAATGTATGCTATTTCATCAATTGTTCAAAATAATGGAATGACTTTCAGTCAGGTTCATTGAAACCTTACCCAAAATGGCAATAACCTTCATTCGGCTCAGGTTTTGGTCTAGTCGCCTTCGTTAGAACCGGGAAAAATCAAGGATAAGTGCGATTCATCTTCAAACACTAGTTCAAACTTTAAGAACAGTCCCATAGTTGATAAATGTCCATCGCCACCATTTTAGGCAAGACGCAGTTTCAGTGGACCTTTCTGAAAAACTACAAACAATGCTAAAATTTTACTGAAAGTCGAACATGGATAGTTGTAATAAAATTCGAATAAATGTAGTTTGAACATTTCTTAATAGAAGCGAAAAAGCCTTTGAAAGCAACGTGCAAGAAGCAGTATTTGAGGAATGATAATAGGAGGCAATTCTTAGTATTCATGGGTTCTCGAAATTTGTAGGATAAGTTTATAAAGCGAATTGAATTTCGTATAACTTCGTATAGACTTTTTTCAGAGTCTCGAGAGTTTCCGAGTCATCATTCCAACTTATTCAAGGCAAATACAACCTCTAAAGGAATGTACGATAACTTACCGTAATTCCAGTTAATGGCGCATTTATCGTCCAGGTCGAGTTTGATCTCATCCAAGGGAGTATTTTTGTAGTACGGATACATAATGGCCTCCTGCTTCTTCGCATGTTGCAGACCCAAACGCGTGGCCCATTCGTGTGCCAGCACGTATGGGAAAAATCGACGATCACTGAAAAATTCGGAAATGGAATGTGGTGAAATTTGATACGGCGCCGAACTACCGCCAGACACCTGACGGGGTTCATCAAATGGCGCCAATGGCTCAAAAGATAATTGATCATCGCGAAATGATCCATCCGGTTGCACCACGAAAAGTGCACAGTTACTCATGAACAGACTACTGTATGCATTGAGAGATCGGCCTCCGAGGCCACCGTAACATCACGTATTTGTTTTGCGTATGGCCCTATTGGTGTTGAAATGGTGTAGTAGCAAGCGTCACTAAGCCAAGCACGGTTAGAAGGGCGAATCTCGGGTCAAATTCCGCCTAGGACAAGGCCCTGTCTACTCCATTGGGTACTACCAGGCTTGCCCAGGAGGATGAAAACGCTAGTAGGCCAAGTTCCACTAAGAAAGCCACAACGATTCTGAACCTGTGGGATGTTGCATATCCTAAAAAGGGGTTGAATGAGCCCCAATGGTTCGTGGTCCTTTTCAACAGAATAGAAGTTAAAGTCAAATTTCTTTTGTCAGCTTTCGGTACGGTGCAAGACAGGCCGTGAAACGAGAGAGGAAGAGAGAAGGAGGGGCTGAAAAAGTGTAAGACTTAAAGGCATAGCCTAGGAAGAAGTCGTGTGAGCTACTCCCTTAAGTCTGTAGGATAGAACCTTAGCGGGCATCTACAGATGTAACACTCTCGTGTGTGGAAATTCCCCGACAAGTGCGTTAGCCCCTTACAAAGTAAGCTGCAGCCGCTGCAACGTTCTTAAGCCCTCTCACCTCCTGCGCTGTCTTGCCTCATCCTCTTCTCTCCGCGCTAAGTCTCTTATTACCTTAGCACATCCACTTTACTGAGGTGAGTGAGCTCTTAACCTAGGCGTTTTTGACAGATTCTTTTCCTTTTTTCTTTACTACTGGCCATTTCCCACCCATGTATTCGTAATCGTGCACAAGAACCACACCAGTTTGATCTTGGGGTATGCCTCCAAAAGGAAAGGTTGGGTCTTGCCCTCAGGGTGCGTTGGTAACTAATCCTTTTTTGCACGAGATGCCCTTTGGCCTGTGAAAGACCCGCTCACACAAATAACGTGCTAGGAATTCCTTTAGAGTGCAGGATTTAGCGCGAAAACATCAAAAAATCACGTAGAAAGATGAGCAACTTCATGATTGGGGATCATAGAGAATATTTTATTCCTCCACCTACCTTAGGAGTGTTTTTTTTTTGGAATACTGGAACTTTTTAAGTGGTACTTCCACGGAACAAAAACTAAGCTTGAGCTATAGGTGGATCCTCTCAATTATGGACGGTACAGAAGCGGTCGAGAGTATTCGCCGGAGCGGTTTTTCATGCTTCAAATCTTTTTCTCCAGAAGTTTGAAGGGTAAATAAAGATTTTTTTCAAGTGCTTTGAATCCTTAGAACTCAGAGATTCCAAACTAGAAGGCAAGCATATCCAAATTTGGAGGGACTGGTAAGGCGAGGAAAAACAAAGCACAAACAAATCGTTTCGGCGAAAACTTGACCGCAACTGTATGTGCAGTACCATCGGCACTGGGAAGACCTCGAGCGGGGACTGTGACGAAATGGAAGATAAAGGCTGCTCTTGAAGAATTGGGAAAATTCGAGTGAAATTCAC